TTCACAGATTAAAAAAAAACAAAAAGAACACGGAGGTTCAAACAGGTTAAGCCACCCAAGTTGTCCAAAGGTCACACAACTTCAAGATGGTAGATTCTGAAGGCAAACCTTACTCCAAAAATCAAGTCATTAGCTTACACTGTACTACTCCTCACAGTTTTAGAAACAGAAAGGGGGACCTTAAGAGGTCTTATGTAACAGCAAAACCAAAGTGGGATCGCAAGAGAACTACCTGAATGAGACAAAGGGAAATGAGACAAAAGGAAATATGGAATCAGAACAGTAATTCACGTGAATAGAAATCGGTGTGAATTTTTAAATACTTACCAAATTCAAGGCACTGATAGCATTGACAAGAGTTGGAAGGAAAATCTGTGGTAAGAATCTGTCCTTAACTTTGGATTCCTGGATTTCAGGAAAAAAATTCTAGTCTATGTGAATGGATTGTTCTTCATATATGAGGGGTGTGCTTCTGACCCACCTCAATGTGATGTATTCTGAATTATTATACCCAGTATAAGGGTGGCCTTTCTTTATAAAATTTTAATATTCAAATTTCCAAACTTGAGAAACAGTCAGGTATACATGATTCCCCTTTACTGGCAAGTTCCTTTAAGTAACAGCTTCAAGAGAGCATTAAAGTGTTTACAGATTATAACTACTTGAGGTGGCAGAATAAACTTTTAGGAGTCACAGGCAACTAAAGATCAACATGATTCTATGTATCAAAAAATCTTTTACAAACAATTTTACAAGAATATTATATTGGGTAACACACTGGAGCCAGATGACACCCTCTTCAAGAAACAAAAGGTACAGATTTATAATACTGACAGCAAGGAATGTAGACAATGAACAGATTTCTGTTACAAGCTAAAAATCTAAAGGAACTTACAAAAAAGTAATATGAAAACTCTGCCTGACAAACTGAACAGAATCAAATAAGAAAAAGAGAAGTAATCAGTATCTGTAGAGAAATCTAAAAGAGAGAGGATCTTCTTACACCTCCAACTCCTGTTCAAAGACTGGCACTAAAACAGTGGTCATTCTAAAGAGAAGTAACAGATACTAATGATGTGGAGAGGATAGGAAATGCCAATCTATCAGATCACTTCTCAGTGAATCTAAGAAGTACTGGTGTGACTTTTACAAAACTGCACCAAGAATTAGCCATAAGAAAACCTTGATTTAAAAAAAAAAATCATCCTGGATTTCACCTAATAGGTTAAACGTCTAAGCATTACTTACTGGGTCTCTACCTGGTACGCTTCCTAAGTCTCAGCTGACCCTTCTGATGAATTAGTTCCACATATGCTTTATTCAAATATATCCTACAAAGAATATCCTACAAGCAAAAGCAGTTCTGTCGTGTTCTTTTTCTCTTCTTCCTTATTATGTTGGTGGTTAAGGTTTGACTGTATAGATCCTAGTCAAATGCCTAATGTTCACTCTAAAGAGTCACTCCGTATGTTCAAAAGTACAGGTGTTCTGACAGGCCTTCCAAAGAAACATGTCTGTCTCAGGAGGCTTCATCAACAAGCTTGGGTTTACACTTTAGGGGGAAATTAAAAAAAACCAACAACCCAATTTGACACAATCTCAATTTCCAAAGGTCCAAGGACAAACGTTACCACTGCAATACAAAGTAGCAGAAAAAGAGGGATGAATACCCAGTGAAGATGGAGAACTAGCTGACTTGTTCACTTTGACTGATAACTGCCCAACATTAAACAAGGATCCTCTTCAGCTGCGATACAATGTACATGGACCATACAACTCAAGGTATCCTTTTCTCTCCCAAATTTTCCTGGCAATTCCATCTGAAATCACCAGTGACAGTTGGCGAACAAGATTTAATACACGAATCATACTATAGCTATTAATACTATCACATAAAAATATCCTTTAGAACTTAGTGTCAGCAGAAGTTGCCTCCCTGAGGAATTGGTATAGATTATTTCCCATGTCTGCTAATGAGACTGTAATTCTGATTCATTCTCCAGCTCCTAGGAAGCTTAAGGTTGCATATGATGATCAGCCAGCCTCACCAATTGTCTTAGCCCTCAGGGTTATCAATATTTTTTCCCTTTTTTCTATAGTTTGGGCTCCTCATTTATATTGTATGTGTCCTGTGTTATAAGTCATTTCAAATGCTCATTAAAGACAGACAGTATAAGTATACTAATATATTTCTTTTTAAAAATCATTTTTGCTTACTCCCAACATATACCCATCTGCACATGTTCTGAACACAAAGCACTTATCTGGCAGATAAGGAAATTGAGGCACAGAAGCTCATTTGCTCAAATTGGGACCCATTTAGTTAGCTTTCTGATACTCAGATCAAGCTGTGAATAGGACTGTGGAGTCATATTATCTACATAGTACTGTGGTAGATCTCACGGCATACAAAAATGAATAACTTGTGATTACAGTTTTAGAATCTTGCTATTTATGCATTTAATAGAAGGACACCCAAACTTCCCCAAAGTGAATAAAACTTCACAAGTTACACAGGAATCTGATCTGACTGAAGACCATCAGGGTCACCCTGAAGTAACCTACAGCCTCTGGCTGGCACCAGAAATGTCCTCATTTCCTAAGGGGCCTCAGGCTTAGAATGATCCAAGGATTAGCTGGTCTAGAGTCATGCTGAATTCTCACAGGCAAAGGACAGCACTATTTGAAGAGGCCTTTTCTCACACCATTCAATACACGCCAAGACAAAATTTTTTCTCTTACTTTGCTCATGCTTTCTCACATTATCAACACATGGCAGAAGTACAAAAGTGACCTAAGTCATAATGTCCAGTTCAGCTATAGTGATGAAAAAACAGTTTACTTAGGACTTGCTATGTGACTTTGACTAGTCCTCAACGAACCCATTAACTAAATAAAGGCCTTTTTTATCATCACTAGGGGAAGGGTAATTAGTCATCATAAAGCACTTTAATAGAAAGTGCTGTGCAAACACTAAACAACAAAGCTCAGAAAGAGCAAGATTAATAAGAAACACAGGGGTACATTTACCAGCAAATGGAAACTTACAACAGGGTCTTCCCACATTCCTGGCAGAGACCACTCCTTTCAGCTAATGGAACATGAAATTTCCAAAATCATTAGTACTTGGCCTGACAGTGATACACATTAGCAACATTCCTCCTTGGGAAAAAAAGGGGCGGGGGGAAGAGTTATTTATTCCTGGTAGGCAGCCATACAGACATCTCAATTACCAGTTTGCCAGCCAGATGGGCAATTACTATTTGAGTACCTACTATATGCTTGGTACAGAGCTAGGGCACGATGGATACAATGGTGAACACGTGTCTCCGCCTTTATGGAGTTTACAGTCTACAATACAAACTTTTGTTTTATTAAGAGTGGCACCTGCAGGAATAAAACCTTACTAAAACAAAGGCAAGTAAGACTAAAGAGGCCCAATCCCTGAAGCCACTAGACCGACAAAAGGCTCCGGGCAGAGGAAGAGTTCAGGGAATGAGGGTAACAGGGCTTTCCCATTCTTCTCCCTAACTCATCAAAAGTACTATCCTTAAACATTCTGCTTATGTACATTTTGTCTCTACCTAGTGCAGATTACAAAGGGTTACTGCTCCAACAAAGCAGTCAGCTGAACTAAGAGCACTAAAAATAAGATTAATCAGACTTCTTAGAATCAAGAGATCTTCTGCAAGGTTTTATAAGTCATTCTGTTGGGTAAGATCTAAATTTTGTGGGAAGACAGCACTACAGCACACAATGGTGACCTATCTTTTCAATCCTGTATTAGATTTCTGGAGTAGTAGGTTAATTTCCTTAAAAGAAAAAAACAAACAAAAAAATCATCTCTCCCACAGCCTGAAGGACTGTCACTATCTACAAATCTTGCTTTGTGCAGCTTACACCAGCAGTGCATCCCATCAAACACTGCAGGTGGGGACAGCCTTGAAACTCTGTCTTTATATAGGAGGGAAATATTTACCCAGGTTCTCACTGGTTTCAGAAAGGTCACCTCTCTGCAAAGGTTCTCTTGTTCTCCGTTAACTGGTGCCAGTGATGTAGAAAATAAAAATGTGGTTGGCAGCAAACACTCAGAAAGCACCAAGGATCCCAATTCCACCACTCAGAGAACTGGTTAGATTAATACTTCCAAAGGCTGCCATTTAATCTTCCAAAATGAAAGAATTAGAAGGATGTTCTTTGAGCTCAACCCACAGCATAATAGATTGAACTCGTTCTGCCTCAGTAAGTGCAGTAAAGAATGAGCAATCGCTCCTTACCACCCACCCCTCCAACCCACCCAAGCTCCTTTCTTAAGGGATGCCGAAGTGATCTATTCACACGACTCTACGATCAACCTGTATCCATGACAGTGTCTGCTATCACCAACCTCCAAATGTTAATTTCTTACATGTGTCGAAGCAACTAGACGACCAAAGAAGGTGAAAATTAGTCTTCAATTTCATGCTGCCCTCATGCTTTTAACCTGCATAAAAGAGCTAGCTAGCTCCACGCATTTTTTTTTTCCCCATCTTGCCTCCAAGATCACACGCAGTTGTTGGATAAGCCGGTCACTGCTCTCAAAGAAGCACTATCAGATTTACCCGCTCACCTGAGGGGAGAGTTCCCGTACACCCTCATACCCTGGGGCTGGTCACTGGGGTCAGCAGATTTCGCTCACCTCTCTCCCACTCCCGTCTCTGAGGCCCTTCATCTAGGATAAGTCAACCGCAAATTTAAGGCCTGGCCCTGCCGGGTTTTGAAAAGATCCCAGAGGACTTGGGCCAAGGGACAAAGGAAAGTGAGGTCTGGGTCGGCCTTTCCAGCTTGGGATAGGCCTGGGGCCGCTCACCCTACACCCCTCACACCACCTCCGTAGTCCTGGGTCCCTGAAACCTCGCTCCTTAAGTCCCAAACTAACTGGAGCCCGGGGCCGGGGCTGGCTCGCGCCCCTTCCTCGAGGCCCCAACCCGGACCCCCGCAGCCACCCAGAGCCCCCGCACCTTCTTGGGCGCCTTGGTGACGGTGGCCATGAAGGAGTACTTCTCGGCGTCCTCAATCTCCTTGGCCTGCTTCAGCTCCTCCCCGACACCGGGCAGCGGCATCGCGTCAGGCATCGACATCCCCCGGCCGGCCGGGCCCGCGGCTGACCCGCCGCCCCCGCCTCCTTCCCTCACCGGCGCCCGCCCGCCTGCCCGCGCGGCGCCCTCCGACACGCGCTCGCCCACCCTCCCGCCGGGCCCCGCGTCAAGCCGCGTCGGGTTCTGAGTGCTGTGGCCCGCGCCTCCTCTGCTCCGCGGTCCAAGACAGCCGGACAGCGACAGCGGCGACAGGAGCACCAGAAGCAGCAACGCAGAGCTCCGACCGGCCCGCGCCGCCACCTCCGCCGCACGCAAACACGGACGCAAAGTAAGGGTAGAGGGCGGTGACGCCACGTCGAGTACTGGCAGCTCCCAGAGGACGGGGGGAGAGGCGGGGAGAACGGCGCTCTGTCATGACGTCACCACGCTGGACTGGGCCACTGAAGCCACATTTTCTTCCTCGCTCGCGGGTGAAGGGAAGCTCAAGGGGTGCGCCGCGCCCTTATATGTCGCCAGGTGGCGCCATTACCTTGCGAGCAGCGCGCGGTTCTTGCAAGGTTGCCGCGGTGCTGGAGGGCCTTTGGGCTGCGGGATGCCAGGGGAGGCCTCAGAAGGGTGTAGGGATGCTTGGGAACGAGTACCAGAGCCTTACACAACACAGCCTACAGCCAGTCCTAGGAAGCTTCCGGCGCCCTAGGTAGCCCACTAGCTTACTGCCCCATGCCCAGGCTTTCTGAACCAGAACCTCCTTCCCAAGAGGCAGCGTTTGCCTCTTTGACACTGTAAGAGTGGGCAGAACAGAACCAGAGCAGTGTGGTTTCTGTGCAACACTTTGTGACCTCCTCCACCACCGTCTCCTCTGGGCCTTGCTTGTTTACAAGTTCTTCATGTCGCGGGGCTGATGGGATAGGGCTAATAATGGGTAAGAGGGTGGGAGAGAAGAAAGGGTGGGGGAGGGGAAGAGAAGTCGACGTGCCCCTCCATGCCCCCACCCCCAAGCGTTTCACTCTGTCAGCTTCCAGGGCAGCACTAGGGCACTCAGGAACTATTCACATGCTTTTACTGGGCCCGGCTATGTGCTACCCCTGTGCCAAGGCCCTGGATAGTACAGATGTGTGTAATACGTTTTTTGTTTCTAAAGGCTTAGTCCAGCTGATGAGGCAATGTCAGCTGAGGTTGCTTGTCCTTTGACATTCAAATGACATTGGCTCAAACTTCCATGTCCTGTGGAAAGTCCAATGCTCCCTCCTCCCCGATTTCTGTGAATTACTGGGGGGACAGAAATTTTCAAGGTTATCTCTGGCTCTAGTTTTCTGCCACATCTGAAGTTTTAGTCACCATTCTGGTCTTTGTGGCTGTTTCTTTAGTTCCTGCTTGTCAGTTCAAATGCAGAGAACAGTCTCTTCTCCTTTCAACCCCCACCCCTATTCCAAAACAACCACAAAAATAATGCTGTAACATGTAGCAGAACTTTTAATGAAGTTTTGTGGGCCACAAGGGAGAGGTTACATCACACCACAAACAATTTGAAGTCACATTTCTGAAATGTTCTGAAAAGTTATTTTGGCCATCTCGTCACCGGGGACTTCTCATTAGCCCCACCACTGCACAAAGCTCCCTAGTCCATTGCTGGTCTCATCCCCCTTCCTCCTGTTCCTCCCTTCTCATCACTCTGCCTCACCCTTCCCTCTTTGATTGACTGGGAAGCTAGAGTCCTCTCCACTTTGCTGAGTGTTCAAGATTGATTGACTGGGAAGCTAGAGTCCTCTCCACTTTGCTGAGTGTTCAAGACTTCCCAGGGTCCTTTTCCTAAATTCCTCCCATCCCACCTTCTTCCTCCCACCTCAGAGACCCAGCAGGTCAACTCTGAAGAAAGAAGTTGTGGCTTGAAGTAACGTTTTCCCCACTGGTTTACAAAAGGTTGGGCAGAGTGTGAAATACTTGCTTTTGGGGCCTCAGAAGTCTTAGTTAGAGAATCCCATGTTCCAACCACCCAGTCCCATGAAGTTGCCTGTTTGAAATAGGTTGTGGAAGTGTCTGGAAGGATGCACTTCTGCAAATCTTCATTTTAGGATTCTCTCCTCTGCTCACTCTTTTTTAATTAAAAAAATTCAAATATAGTTGATTTACAATGTTCTGTTAGTTTCGGGTGGTGTAAATACTTTTTTTTTCTTTCTGGCCGCACCATCCTGCCTGTGGGATCTTAGTTCCCTGAGTAGGAATCAAACTCAAGCCCCTGCAGTGGAAGCACAGAGTCTTAACCACTGGACCACTAGGGAAGTCCCACCTATGCCCCTCTTTCAGGCCCCTCGACTTCCCTCTCAGAAGTATGCATGTAGCAGAAGGGACAAAGAGACTGGGGAGCAGAATACAAGGTTGATCCATAAGGGTGCCAAGTCTGCCAGTCGGCACATTTGTTATTTCTCAGCTGGGGCCAGGAGCTGTGCCTGCCCAGCCAGGACTCTTTGGATATATGGCCTGAAGTAGCTTTCATCGTGTGGGTTTGCCCAAACTGTTGTCAGCATCCAGGGGTAAGAGCTGTCTCCTTAGAGAACAGAGACAGAGCCAGCTAGAACAGAGGTGAAAACTCCATATCCCATGAATAGGAAAGCATGTGACTTAGGTTAGCTTATTTGAAAAAAAAAGAAAAAAGCATAGGTGTCTTTTGGATTTGATGTTTTAAAACTCCTGTTGTCTGAGAGCTGTGTGTGTCAGCCCCAGCTCTGCCATGCATGTTAATGTTCAGACTGCTAGAGAGCTGGCTGGGGAGTGGAGTTCAGCCTCTCTTTTATTCCGCCTGAACTAAAGTAACAGGTTTTCCCCTCGTAGCTGACTCACAGAATTGCCTGCTGCTGCTGTGGACAATGGTAACAACAGGGCCAGACCTAGAGGAAGCAGTAGCTTGGCAGTCTGAGCCGAAAGAAGATCAACAGATGTGACTTCACTTGCCTGAGTGCCCGGCCCAAATGGAGGCCGGGGAGGCTGACCGAGGGGAGTCAGAGTGCTTACACTGAAGGTGGGAGGGCCAGCACTCCTTGCCCTGGTGGAAAGGTAGTAGGCCTAGGTGGTTCATGTCAGGCAAGAGCCACCAAGGGCATTCCTGGAAACCAGCCCTCTGCAGAGGACATGGGTGGTTGCCATCCCACCCGCCATGTGTGGGCTGCAGATCAAAGAGTTCACGCAGTCCGAGTGTGATGACATGACACTGGAGAGACCCATTGCACGCTCCCTCCTCCCTCCAGATGGCTGCACACCGCCAATGGCTGTGACTGCTTATGCGTGAAAGAAAGAAATGTCCTACCCAGCCTGCCCTGGATCTGGCTACCAGCCTACCCACCCAGCTTTCTGGACTGAGCCTCTATGCTGAGTCAGGTGAGTGAGTCAGGGCTTACTCCCCTGAACTGCACCACCCACCCAAAGATGGCAGATGCTGTGGGGACCCAAGGTTTGAGGACAGCAGGGACCCAAGGACAGGTGCACCTGTTGTGTGGTGGAGGGAAGTAGTCTCCAAAGAGTCTAGAAATCAGAGGGACCCATGCTCTATAAAAGAGGAGTCTGAGGAGAGAGAGAACTAGGAGGTGTCACCACAAGCATGGTAGCACACAGCTACCATAGTGGGCTGGGACTGCTTAATCAAATTCATTCTTCTGTCTACCCCCCAAATTACACTCTATGTGCATTCTTTTTTTAATTTGTAAAATCTAGAGTGAATGCTGGGCTTCCCTGGTGGCTCAGATGGTAAAGAGTCTGCCTGCAATGCAGGAGACCCTGGTTCGATCCCTGGGTTGGGAAGATTCCCTGGAGAAGGAAATAGCTACCCACTCCAGCATTCTTGCTTGGAGAATCCCATGGACAGAGGAGCCTGATGGGCCACAGTCCATGGAGTCACAAAGTGTCAGGCACGACTGAGTGACTGACACACACCATGACTGCTGAAGATGTGTTCAGAGCAGTACTAGATGCTGGGACCACAGAGACAAGTGAAGTGCTGATCCCTACCTGGGCATGACAGGGGGTGGAGGATGGGAGGGTGAGCAAGAAAGGCTTTATACAGAAGATGCTGCTCCAGCTGACTTTTGACAGATAAGCAGCTGGACAATCCAGAGAAGGTATCTCAGGCTGAAGGAATAGCCTGAGAAAAGGCAGGGCCCTGAGGCACCCTGGCATATTAGGGGAACTGTAAAGATTTCAGTGTGGGTGGGGCATAGGGGCAGGGCTGTGTGGAATGAGAGCCCTCTGAGAGCAAGATCCTGTGGAGCCTCATGAACTGTGGGTGGGTAGTGGTGAATGCGAGGAGGAGGAGAAGCAGGTCAGGTGGAGAGACTGCTGAGATAAGGGGTGAACTTGAGCCATTTGAGTTTAATATGTGTGTGCAGTGCACACATATCCCAGAGGCCCCGGCAATCCTAGGGTGGCGCCTTCACACCTGCTTGCTCCCTGCTGGCCTGGCACACTCCCGAGCAGGGCTGTGCTCTCCCTAAGGCCCCTTCACCTCCTGTGGTACTGGCCCCACTTTAGCCATCTTTCTGTCCCAGAGCTGCCTGATTGTGCAACCCTGGGAGGCACCATAGGTGTAGTAAGTGATGTGAAAGGTGCCCTGGGAACACGGCTTCGGATTGCTGATCTGCCCTGCTGGCCCTGTGGGGACGCCTGGGGCAAGACTGCTGGCTGTACCTCTGTGTCTCTGGGCGCTGGCTCCGCTGCTGGCCTTTCTCCTACTTCCCTCGGTGTCCTGTTCCCCTCTTCTAGCTTCCTTCCTGCTCTTCTCTGCAATCCCGGCCCTGTTGGGAAGATTTTCCGAGGGCCAAGGCCAAGGAGAATGGCTCCTCTTTCTCTGCTGCTTATGATGATCATATGTATGATTTGTTTTACTATTTATGCTCACTTTGAACATAATCTTTAGAGGAAAGAAAAACCCATGAAGATGAAAATCTCTAGACCTCCGTAAGTTCACTTGCAGTTCTTCTCAGTTTGCAGAAGTGCACTTGTGCATACCTGTGATCGGTACGTACATGTCATTCCGTTTTGGTCAAATTACAGTA